CATTTCCCTATGGGGGAAATACCCATTTGTAAAGGCAATTTCTATCATTAAAAATCTTCACGTGGACAGGAAGGGGAGAAGAGGTCCCAATGAACGGTGAGAGGGCAAAGGCTACTCTGAGAGTTGCTGGCTGTTTCTAGCTATCAACAATTGGAATCAACCAGAGATGACAATTTACTTACAGTGTGGGCAAGATACTCAGCAAGAATTTGGGCCCTTTAAATAAATTCCAAGACATTTCCCATTGGTTTCAAAAGTGTTTGTGATAGTTTCCATTATTTCCCTTTTAGGCTGAAATCCTACACATATGTATCTTGGAGTATGCACCATTAAACCAAGAGAGACATAAGTACATCTAAAGACTTTAGAATAAGTACAGCTTGACACCACTGTAACTACCATTGCATAATGCTGTGGGATCCTGGGAGTTCTAGCTTTACAACAGTGGTCCTCAACCTGTGAGTCCCCAGGTGTCTTGGCCTACAACTCCCAGAAATCCCAGCCAGTTTACCAGCTGTTAGGACTTTTGGGAATTAAAGGCCAAAAGATCTGGGGGCCCACAGGTTAAGAACCTCTGCTTTACAGGGTGTTTAGCCTTCTCTGTTAAAGAGTGCTGATACCTCACCAAATTACAAATCCCAATATCCCATAGCACTGATGCATTGGAAGTTAAAGTAGTGTCAGACTGCATTAATTCTACAGTATATCTCCACTCTTAATTGTGTCTAGAGATGCATCTACCCCAAATACCCACTACTAAAGTCAATCAGGTTTGCAGCTGTTAGGGTCATGGTGACAGCATTTGCGAAGTTGTATACACCAGAAAGCCTATGTCTTCTGGTCTTTAAACTGTGACTACTTTGCCAAACAATTTTTTTCATCTCTGTTGGATTTCTACATGTTTTTAATCTGATGGTACTTTTTATTGTTTGTTCATTTTTCAAAAAGTATCCACATTTTAGTTGCAAACATGGAGAATATCGCTACCAATCCAATTATTTGTTAACAAATTTAACATAAGGGCATGACCTTAGCAAGCTGGGTAGAAAGGGCAGCAGTAGTGATGTGCCATTCATCACCATGCCAAATGCAGAGATGTCTGCTATGGCTCACATGCTCAGAGCCTTGGCAAACAGCTACAATCATGGCTGTTCACCATTCATAGGCGAAGCAACACGAAAGGGGGAAAGGAAACATGTGAGAAGAAGCCATGACATTTTGATGAGGACATCAACCAATGAGCAGTCTTCATTGGTTGGAACTAGAAGATTAAGGAAGCTGAAGATTCGATAGTTCCAGTTGGAAGCATAGTTCAATGCTTGTTTTTTAATATTAATATGCATAAACATATTATTGGATTAGCATCCAATTAATCCATCTTCATGGCATTTTGGAGACCTTTCATGCATGGGCTATGTAAAGCCTTAGAATAAACTACTCTTTACATTCATTCATAATAATTCAGCAGCTATCTTTGCCATCACCAAGGACAAACTGTGAAAGCAATAGTGCTCCAGCTTGCTCCTATTGCAAGAAAAAGAACTGCAGCCCTCATTTTGTTATTATTAAGTTCAATAAAACCCTGTTTCTTAATGTACAGTACAATCCTCATGTGCATAGGAGTCTTCACATGGATTCACAAAACAGCAGATTATAGAGAATCCTATTGAAATTGATGATATCTGGCTCAATAGTTATACTAGAAGACCTAGAAAGTGTCTAGGGGTGACATATATTGTCAGGCATTTATACATGTATATGGGTCCTGTGGGTACAGGGTCCCTACTGTATATTATTTAAATATATATAGAGATCCCAGAAAATACAGGAAATGCCACTTAAAATCTCTCATATTTTACAACCCTATTCTATCCAATTGTATATACATACATTGATACTGTCCTTAACATTTTTTCATATAAATTTTTTACTAAGTATTGTGTTTGAACTCAGCACTGATAAAATGTGGATAATAATTAGGGTGCTCTTGTTTTCAGCATTGCTAAATACCCATACTGATCTTTGATGTAACAGTCTTTAGGACTTAAGAGTGATAATAATAAACAGACTGTTAAATATGATATTAAACTCAACAATATAAAGGCTCTATGCTAAACCAAACTGTGTGGCCACTACCTGGCTTCCTCCTGCTAACATCACATGTGCACGGGTATCAAGAAGCAAACTATCGAAACAAGATTATTACACAAATTTTATGAAGTAGTACCAGAAAATGTTTTTGTGCAACAAAAAAGGGGCTTGACTGACCTCACATATTAGATAAGGACCACACCTGTTTTCCAACCAGCATATCTTTTGTGAAATTGAACTAGGTTCTTATGCAGGTGAATACTCTCAAAATCTCCTCAGTTCCAGAGTTTGTAGATGTTATTGGGGAAATAACTCCCACTGCCATATAGGCAGTGTGACCAGAAAAGTAAAGGTGGAATGGGGAAAGGGGAAAAAATAATCTAACTACACAAGTTTCCCCAAACCTGGTGTTCTCCAGATATATTGAACTACAAATCTCAGAACTGGAAACGCTAGTGAAGCCATTTCAGGAATGCCATCTATAGCATATTAACTTTTTTTCTTCTCTTTTCTTAAAAATAATTAGAGGTTAAGCAGTTGATCTTGAGAGATGCACCATGAAAAAATATGCTGAGGCTATATTGGATTTCACGAGGCTTTCAAAGGTCTCCAAAATGCTTCATAAGCAAGTTTCTTTAAAAATGGATTTCAAGGGAAGAATGTAGTAGTATGACATGACAGCCTCAATGGCTGAGAACAAAAGGAACTCCAGATCTAAAGGCCAGTTTCAAAACAATAATATGGAATGGATGTCATAGATGTCTGCAGAAACATGTACAGCCACAACACAATCTACTTTTAAATTTTCTAATGATAGAATTCTATTTCCACAGAAGAGTCTCATAAATGGTTGTTTGAATTCTTATTTGAATAGAATTCCATAAGAGAGGCTTGGGGACATGGTAGCTGGCCCTCTCATTTCTACTACAAACTCATTGTCTTTCCACATATTGGAAAAACTCCACGGTTCAGAACTAACCATATATGCAAAGGTTCCCAAAGTGATTTAGAAACCTGATCGTGTAAGAATCATACAAAGGATTACAAATGCTACAACCCTGAGCTAAAAGGAGGTGACAACATTTGCAACATATGGTGGTCAAAACAGTATGAGGAGGATAGGAAGAGAATATGCCATGAAAGATGAGTATGCGTGCTGTTTCCACTGCTCTTAAATATGGGATATTTGAACCAACAATACATGGAAAGATCTACTATGGGACTACTCTAACTGGAATATTTAATGCACTCTAGAGCAGGGCTTCTTAAAACGTTTTCCACTCGTGAACCCTTTCCGCCCCAGAAATTTTTACATGTCCCCAGATATAGGGGTTTATAAAATAGGTATAAAATCAATTATTTATTCATAGTAAATCAGCATTTGCAAGTCTTGCTACAGGTTGATTTTGTCTTTTTAGGAAGTACAGCTGAAGCATTTTCTGCAGACTTCACTGTAAACACTGAATGGTGTTGCTAACAGATTCACATAAAACAGTGGTTCTCAACCTGTGGGTCCCCAGGTGTTTTGGCCTACGACTCCCAGAAATCCCAGCTGTTAGGATTTCTGGGAATTGAACGCCAAAACATCTGGGGACCCACGGGTTGAGAACTACTGACATAAAGTCTGAAACAGACACTAGGTAGTGTTCAGAAATCTTTTACTGTTGCCTAATATTTCAAGATCAATATTCAACACAGTTTAAGAAGCAGTGTTCTAGAGAATCCTGCAACTCTAAATGGATAGGCCTGAGAATCAAGGTGTGCTGAGGGACGAGCACAGTACAAGAAAATACTGTGTGGATGTAAGATATTTGTTCTCAAAACTCGATTGCCATTTCATCTCTCCCAGAAGCATGCCGGAGTCCCACTTGTATTATTGCTGGGTATCATGGTTTTGAGGTTTTGTTTTGGTTTTTTTATGAAGTCCGTGCCTATGGGACAAAAAGAGGAACAGGACTGTTTTGGCTCCTAGCTTTCTTTCAGAAGTCTTATGCCATTCTTTACAGTTCTCTCAAATCACTGTAATTCCCATGGTTCTACCGATGAGAACTATGATAGCCATACTGTTAACTTTTGAAGTCTAGACATGTTCTTGCCCTTCCTCTCTTGGACAGACTGGGAAGAGAGTAAGTGCGCTTTATGTGTAAATGAAGCCCACATTCTTAATAAAATATAAAAGGACAGCTATCATCCCAGGAGTTATGTGGATATGCATAGATATTATTGTGCTTTAGGAATCTCTGGAAAAGAAATGTTACTTTATATACTCATGTATGAATCTAAAAAATAAGTCAAAATATCGATCTCCAAAACCTGGGCTGACTTATCAATGTAGGTACTGTACATTAACTCTTATTTAAAAATGGAACCATTTCTGAGTAGAACGGTGAGAACTTGATCTGTCCTGGGATAACCTAAAATCAGCACTTGGCTCCCTCAACTCTTTCTGCCATCGCATTGCGTCTGGCCTTTTTGAATACCTGGGTGGCCAGCTCCCAAAAACAGCACTGATGTTTTCCCTCTCTCTGCAGAATGGCCCTCATTCTACCAGATCATAGCAAAATCCATGATGTTGGCCTACAACTCGCTCAGGAGGTTGACCTATGCATGAGCATATATGGTGCTCAAAATGTGCCTTTAACAAATGAATCCTTAATTCCTACAGCATACAGATATGTCCCTTCCAACTCTAAGATTCCGATTCCATGGACAGCTCATGCCTTCTTCTTAGGCTGTAAGGCCTAGCACAAGGAATATTATCCTCCCATCAAACTTGTAAGGATATGACATCACTTTTAAGAAAGTAGGTTCAGTAATACAAACACATCCATCTAAAGAGATAAGTTGGCTAGATTCTTCTCTATCCTTGTCATATGGCCTGCTTAGTTATGGAGCAAAACTATGAGTCTGGAAAAGTGTGGGAGTTTTGGCCTAAAACACCCAGAATCCTCCCAATAAATATGAGTAGTTGGCAAGCTTAGGGTTTAGGGAGTTTTCATTTTAAAAGGGCCGATGTGATTCCTTCCAACTCTTAAGATTCTATGATACTATGAAAAACAACTTTTCCAAGCTCAGAGCTAATATGCAATTGATTCTTCTCTTCAGGCTCCCCATATGTTGTGTTTCATGTTGCAGCCTAAAGACTTTTGCAGATGTTACCACATGTGGCTCAGCATCCTTTATTTCTTCAGGCTTTTCAGTGTGACGATAAGTTCTTGTTGTATTGCTACAGTTCTGCAAACCTAACAGATGTCTCCTTTGATGTACTATAAGCCCTTACATATAAAATGGTATTTTACCCCCTGGGCCTAGTGGCAAGTTCCTGCAGTTTCTCAGCCAGCTCATGGAAACCAGATTCTGTAAAAAAAAAAATTCAACCGCTTCCCAAATATACCAGGTTCAACAGCCCATGTCAAAATTTCTCGCTGTTTTGCCAACAAGCGCCAATCTGAGCACCATCTACTCTGACATGTATTACAGAGTAAATACAGTAGATGACAACAGGTGTCACAGCTGGATTTCTAATGCAAACAGATATTATCACTGGAGAAAGGAAGCCTACTGCAAAGTGTATGTGGCTATTTGCATTTCTGCTACCAGCAGGGGGAATGGATCCCAGCAGGGGAGACAGTTAACTAGGTCAGTGAGCCTTGCATTTGGATTCAGTGGGGAAACTGTGCATGCTGGAAATCTATAGCCTCCACAGACAATACTTTGAGGTTAGAACTTCTTCTGCCCATGTATTATTCCATTTTTTGCCAATAAACCACGTGCTTGGTCTTCTAGGGACATTTTTCTTGCTGCCACTGCACAAAATGTTATCACTCAGTGTACAGTAAACCCGTAGCTGCTGAACAAACAGAACTCATGTCCCCCACTCTCAGATTACACTGAGACCAGTGGAACCCCGTTCCTTAACAGATTTATCATTTCTCCTGCAAGAAGCCCCTCAGGCCAGTGAGCTGACACATTTTATGGGTCACAATCATCTGTAGGGGATGATGTCTAGAAGTTTTAGATACATAATCCCCTTGCTTAATATTCTAGATACTGAGGAGTCTGTTTCATTTTTGTTCTGTCAGTACTTAGAGAGGGGGACTATAACAGCCACGTGGACAGGTGGCATTATGATAGCCATACTAAAGGATGGCCAGGGGGAAGGATGGGAGAGATGGGGTTACTGGGCTGTCTGAGTTAATCTAAAAGTTCACACCAAGTCTTCCCTAAGCTCTGCCCATTGACCTTTCCACTGTTACCAAAAGATGTCTCACCTATCAAACCGTCAGGGCTCTGAGAAGGAGACTGTAGTATTGCTAACTGAGAAACCAAAACAATGGTGTGTGGGGAAGGACAGTCAGGCACTAGGCAGGCTGCCCGAGCCGCTGCTTGGTGGCTGGCAATAAGCAAGCATGAGGCTGGCCGGCAAGACCTCAGCCAGGTTAGGAGCTGGACCGAGAGAGCGTGGGCATGTGGGCAAGTGAAGCACTGAAGTACAGCTAGCTGCTATACGCTTGTATTTTCCGACACAATAAGGCTGAGCTGCGGCAACTTGAGTGTATGCTATACGCAGAGGTTTCTCCAGCCTGGTGAGATGGTAGGTCGGGAGGTCTAAAGGGTGGCAGCAGCAGAACATTATCTTGCAGTAGCCTTGCCTTCCTGGGATACTTGTCTTCCTTTGGTTGCTGGAGTTTGAGTTTGGGCTTGGGCCTTCCCCCTTTGTCCTTTTCGGAGCACACCTGGTGAAACAGGGGCATCTGCCAACTGCCCCCCAACTGCCTGAGCTCTGGAGGGAGCTTTGGAAGAAGGCTGGACCGGCAGAGGGTGTGTAGTCCCTGGCCTGTGCTGCCGGGATGGTGAAGGATTTTCCTTTCTGGACAGTGACTGGCTTTTGGGGGAAGCACTGAGGTTTCGTGGAGCGAGGATGGGACTCCTAGCTGGTGGACGGAGGAGTTTTCTTGGACTGCTCCGTAAGGGAGGGGCAGTAGGGTTTAGGGCTGGTTTTATTCGGGAGTCACCAGATACATTCCCAGAGGATCTTTGCCCTTGAAATCTGCAGAAAGAAAACAAAGAGAAAGAGGGGGGGGGGGAAATAGTATCAGGCCAACAGTTAGTGGTTTAGACCCCCAGTCTCTCAATAAGGCCATATGGCAAACACTGGCTATACATCCAAATTAATACTGAAAACACACAGGTCACATTTACCATCCATGTCATAGAACTGGTATGGGCAGCCAGATATTAAATACATACATTCACACACAACCTTAATATTAATTCCCAGTTCATAGAGTTTGGCAGGACCAACACCCTCCTCAAAGGATGGGATAATCAGCCAGAACCTGATTGGCAACTGCCACACCCAAAGGACCTTTTCATCCGCCATCCTAAGACTGTGGAATGACATGCCAGAAGAACTTCAACAGTTAAATCAGCTGCCAGAACTCAAAATACGACTCTTCTGACAGGTCTACATAGTCAATTTGAAACTGTGAATTTGATTGGTGTTGGTATAGGTCTTGTGTGCATTTTGGTACATTTTAATAGTGTTTTTGTTTTATCTGTATGGGCCCTCTGGTGGCACAGCAGGTTAAACCGCTGAACTGCTGAACTTGCTGACCAAAAGATTGGCGGTTCGAATCCAGGCAGTGGGATGAGCTCCCGCTGTTAGCCCCAGCTTCTGCCAAGCTAGCTGTTTGAAAATATGTAAATGTGAGTAGGTCAATAGGTATCACTTTGGTAGGAAGTAACGCCACTCCATACAGTCATGCCGACAACATGACCTTGGAGGTGTGTATGGACAATGCCAGCTCTTCATCTTAGAAATGGAGATGAGCACCACCCCCCAGAGTTGGACACGACTAGACTTAATGTCAGGGGAAACATTTAACTTATCTGTATATTTTGTGTTGTACACACCTCAAGCCACAAGATAATTGGATAACAAATGCATTTATTAGTAGTATCAGTGTTGCTGGAAAACGAATTTCGCCCTTCTTTCATACATTTGTGCAAGTCTTGTGGAAGTGTACAACTTCCACAAGTGTACAAACAGCTGGTTGCATGGAGGCCAGATAAGTGTAGTTCTAAATGAGCAAAGGTTATTGTATCCCTGATTGTGTGAATGCCATCTGGATAGCAAACTTGAACTGAATGAATTTCATTCACCACCATCAGGATTAGTTCTGCTATAAACTGGGCCTAGGAATCCCAGTATCATAAGTGGGAGACTTCATGCGCTGACCACCATGCCCTGTTGGCTGAATGGTCCTATGGCATTCCCTTGTCACTGTTGGAAAGGCACTCCACTAAGCTGTCATACCACCCTTAATACTGTATGAGTATTGCTCTTTCCTGACATAACCAGCCTTGATACCTTTTTATTGAGGAAAGAATGTGAAATCCCATACAATGTTAGCAGATGTAATGGTGTAATCTAGATCGTAAATTCTAGAAGACAAGTAGATGCCTCAGTGTGTGGGTGGATAATCTTTCCTAATCTAAGGCCAGCATTCTGTCACAGCTAATATTCCAGGAACTGCATTCCAATGGTGGATAAGCTCATTCCTATTCTATCATTTACATGTATGAAAGAACAGATAAATGACTCCTCTCCAGCAGCAACAAGGTTTTTGAAAAAAGCTTCCCAATGTAGGCAATTAGTGGCTTTTTAAAGGAAACTGGAAGTAGAAAGGGTGATAATGCACAAGAGACTAACTTCTATTGCTATGACACCATCCAGAAATCATGAAGTTGTCAGTCTTAAAAAAACCCGTTGGTTTCTATGGGACCTTAGTAACTGATGGTCAAAGACAATTTTCAAGAGACAGGTTGCACCACAACTGGATGGGAATGCTAGCTTCAGGCTAATCTTTCCATCTCATCCTGTGACTGGCTCCCCTGAAATCACTCACACCCATTCTGAAAAGAGATTTGAAAGTCACATCACTGATGGGAGGACATGACCAAAGAGAGGAGGCTGTGATCTTCTCAGGGAGGTCAGCCTATGGCTTTATACCATTGCATGACTGTTCTGTTCAAAAAGGAATGATCATAGTCCTGAATATGGACTGACTGGATATATACAAGCAAGAACTTGGACTTATCATCTGTCCTCTACTACTAGGCAGAGAGCCTTCTCAATTGTGGCCCCTTATTTATGGAATGCCTTGCCAGTTGAAACCCGAACCATCCGAGAGCTACTTGCTTTTCAGAAAGGCTGTAAAACCTTTCTTTTCCGACAAGCTTTTGATGGGTGACTAACTCGGGACTATGTCTGTTCTCGTTTTTATTGTATTTTAAAGTTGGTTGTATTGTTTTAATCTACTGCTGTAAACCGCTCCGAGCCAAATTGGGAGTGGCGGTATACCAGTCAAATAAATAAATAAACTAAGAAGTCAACAATGACTTCAAACAGCTCACAAAGACTCTAACTGAAGCAAGAAATTCTGTCTGATCTTGGAAGCTAAGCAGGGTCAGTCCTAGTAAATACTTGGATGGGTGGCCACCAAGGAATACCAAGTACTGTAGGCTATCTTTCAGAGGAAGGCAAACCACCTCTGAGTATTCCTTGCTTAAAGAAAACCTATAAAATTCATGAAGTTATTGTAAGTTGACCAGGCAACATGAAGCAACATATACAGATATAGCTTGGAAAAGCTACTTTTTCAGACTACAAGTCTCTTTGCCACACAGTAGCTGGAGAATTCTGGGAGTGATTGTTTAAGCTCTGGAACCAGGACCTCCAATACAAACCTACCTGTTGGTCATATCCTTGTCACCAGGACTGCTACTCACTGCTGGTGTTAGAAGTATTGAATGGCTCCCACATTTCAATTCTTTCACTGGTGGCTTTACAGGCACAACGGGACGAGGGATCCTGCTCTTTGTACTTAGACTTCTCTCATCAGTCTTAACTAGAGAAAACTTCTCCTGAATTCCCATCTTCTTTGGGGTAAAGTCATCTGAGTCATGGGTGTCCTCTTCAGATCCAGTGGCCGATAAGGTTTCTGAAGCTCGTCGCCTCTCATCACTGGAAGAAGCAGAAGATGAAGCTCCTGAAGCTAATCTGAGCAGACGATTTTGTCTTTTCTCCATCACCAGGCGGGCCAAATCCTGCTGTTTCAGCCGCTTATACAATCTCTCCTTGCCAGAGTGTGATCCTGAAAGGTCTGAACCAGTGTCTTCTTCAGAGAGTAAGATAGGAATCCGGCTTCTGTACCTGATGCTCAAGGGCTTCTTGGGACTTTCTTTTGGAGCATCAGGAAGTGTTTCTTTTTGTTTTAGGGACTCCGTCGCAAGATTTTGATTTTCAAGGCTAGTCTCTTCTGAAATTGGCTTATCTACTTCTTCCAAATCTAACTGAGGGACAAATTTCTCTTTAAGTTCTAGCTCTTCTTCTTCCATTTTGCTTCCATTAAGAAGCAAGACCTGTTCCGCTCCAATATCAGAGGTGGTTTCAATATGGTTGACAGAAAGAGCACAGCTCTCCATCTCTCCTCCTTCCAGGGCTGAATTCACGCTTCCATTTTCTACCAAAACTTGATTTTCTTCTAGTTCTTCTTCAACTATTATCTCTTCAAACTGTCCTGGAGTGGGATATTCCTCGTGCCTCATCGGCTGTCCACTGGAAGACATAATGTTTAAATGGGTCTTTTCAGCAATATGAACAAATGTGCGCTCAACTTTGGTAAAAGGGGAGGAGGCTGTGGCCACAGCAACAGGAGGCTTTGGTTCTGACTTGAGAATGGAGGACAATGTTCCTGGCTCGGATACATCCAGCTGACTTCCCATAGGTTGAGGTTTCTCGTTTTGAGGTGTCAAAGCAGCAAGAGTTCCAAGATCAACGTCAGGAGCCAGGTCTGTGTTCACAGGGGACTTCTTTATATCCCCTGGAGAAAAGAGAACCAATGTCTTTGAGCCTTCCTCAAGTTCCAAGTCTCCTTCTGCAGCTGAAGCTCGGCCCTTGGACTCCTTTTGGTCATCAGCTAAGAGGGTAGATGGGGCACCTTCCTGACTTCGCTCAGTGCTTTTCTGGCTCACATCACTGCTGGATTCACTGTGCATGTCAAGCTCTTCTCCTAATTCACCAGCATCTTCCTCATCTTCCTCCTCTCCCCCTTCCTCCTCTTCTCCCTCCTGTTCATATCTTCCATTTGCCATTTCCAAATGGGCTGTAGGTGTTTTGCAAGGGGCAGTTAAGACAACATTTGAGAAATCCACTTTCTTTGCACGCTGGAAGATTCTGGATCTTTCTCTTTGTTCTGATACATCCCTTTTGAAATCTTGATAAGGCAAACTTAAAGGCACCACCTTGGGGAGACCATTCATTTCAAAAGGCTTCAGTGTGAATACCTGGAACAAGATTCATGAAAAATATCTGGTTAGTCAAGAGAATATTGAAACTACATTTAAAAAGAGAAATGATATAGCACCTGGAACTGATCTGTTCATCGTATTTTCAGAAGAATTAATTAGAATGAGATAATCTCAATGAGATGAGCCCCCGGTGGCACCCCTGGTGGTGCAATGGGTTAAACCCTTGTGCCGGCAGGACTGCTGACCAAAAGGTCAGCGGTTCAAATCCAGGGAGTGGAGTGAGTTCCTGTCTGTCAGCTCCAGCTTCCCATACATGGACATGAAAGAAACCTCTCACAGGATGGTAAAACATCTGGGCTCCCCCTGGGCAACGTCCTTGCAGACGGCCAAATCTCTCACACCAGAAGTGACTTGCAATTTCTTGAGTCGCACCTGACACAATAAAAAATGAGATGAATACTTTTTTCTGTGAAGGATCATATTTTCTCAGATGGTTACATATTAGAAGTGGGTGAAACCAGTGGTGGGCAAAGCTAACATTAATCAACATCACTCCTCAGTATGGTCTTGATGAAGTATTTCACAGAATAATAGAATCATAGAATTAGAAGAGAGCACAAGATCCATCCAGTCTAAACCCCTGACATGCAGGAGCACACAGCCAAAACACTCCTAACAAATGGGCATGAGCCACATTCCCTAGAATGTAGGTTGTACGCTCAAACCTAGACAAAGCACAACATAATTCAAATATAAAAAGCAATATACCATATTTAGTTGAGTCTAATGTTCACCTCTTTTTTGCCTAATTACATGAGCATTAGATTCAATGATGCATTAGAATCTGGCACCTAAATCCGCCTTACAGCTGGTAAACTGGCTGGGATTTCTGGGAGTTGTAGGCCAAAACACCTGGGGGCCCACAGGTTGAGAACCACTGGGGTAAAGGATCCCAGCTAGGGACAGAGGAGGGAGAGGCAGCAGTGGCCGTGAAAAGGCTAGTGGGAAGTTGATGGTGACCGCAAAAAGACTGATGGGTATTTGTGGCCACCACCACCACTTCACATGACATTAAACAGTAAATCCTTTTTTTTTTTCAAACTTCAGGTGCACATTACATTTGATGGCACATTATACTCAAGTAAATAAAAAGTAATAATATAGTAAGAAAAATATATAAGAAACAAGACAAATGCTTCCTATGCAGGAAAAGATAAAGAGTATGTTGAGACATTTTGGAGGATACATTACCACATCGTATTTAAAACCCTGCCTTTAAAGCCCAAAAATGTTTTCTGAGATGTGTGAGGAACAAGCCGTGGAATTTCCCCCTCATTCTTCTTCAGTTCTTCATCTTGAATATCCAGATGGAATACTAGAAGGAAGGGCTGAGAGGCAAGTGCCTCTCACTGGTGTCAGACTACTGTTGCTAGTTCAGAGTCAGTGCCTCCCCTTCACCTCCTACTAGTGTGATGTCTGATGAACACACCTAAGAGGTAACAATGCAAAAGCTTATTGTTCACCAAAGGCATCAGCAGACTCATGGGCCTCAATGCAGACAAAAATAATCAGCTTTAAAGATTATAAAGTCAACACCTGTTAAAGAAGATGATATAAAACAGTGAAATAACAAATGCTATGGGTCATAGCAACTTGAAGTACCATGACCAAGGCATGCCCTAAAGCTAAAAATTGAAAGACTTAGAACAAATTGTTCTACAGGTAAGAGTTTCCTCCATTAAAATTGAAATATCCAAGTACAAGATAGAAACATACAAGATTAAAGTTTTTATAAAAATATGGTCGTAAAAATGAAGTGGGGACCGATTTAGAATCATAGAATCATAGAGTTGGAAGAGACCTCAAGGGCCATCCAGTCCAACCCCGTGCCAAGAAGCAGGGAAATTGCATTCAAAGCATCCCTGACAGATGGCCATCTAGCTTCTATATAAAAGCTGTTTAATATGTGTAATAGAAGTATATAATCTAACAGTGCTTGGGAAAGATTTAGGTGTTTTGTTTTGGGAAGGGAGTTTTTTGTACTGTAGCTCTCAGAATGAGAGCCAGTGTGGAGCAGAGGTTTAAGTGTAGGACTTGAAATCCTGGACAACATGCTCTCTCTGCTCACCTATGTAAACCCCATGGGTGATCCTGGGCAAGTCATACTTTTTCAGCCTTAGAGGAAGGCGATAGTGAACTTTCTCTGACTAAATATTGCCAAGAAAACCCTGTGATGGGTTTGCCTTAAGGTCAGCTTAACTTGGAAACAACGTGAAGGCACACAACATCATCAACCAAAGCAAAGCTCCCAGAATCCTACAGTCGGTATGGACACTGGCCATGGAAGATCCTGTGAACTACAGACCAAAAAAGAAAGATGGTTAAGCTCTGCAATCTATGCAGCAGGGACAAGCCTAAGAAAGTATATCTTCACAAAATATAGTTACGGAATTCACTGCCAGATGATTAATTGATGTGTTTAGACACAGAATCATAGAATCAAAGACTTGGAAGAGACCTCGCGGGTCATCCAGTCCAAACCCCTCCCAAGAAGCAAGAAAATCACATTCAGAGCACCCCCGACAGATGGCCATCCAGCCTCTGTTTAAAAGCCTCCAAAGAAGGAGCCTCCACCACACTCCGGGGCAGAGAGTTCCACTGCTGAACAGCTCTCAGAGTTAGGAAGTTCTTCCTAATGTTCTGGTGGAATCGCCTTTTCTGTAATTTGAATCCATTGTTCTGTGTCCTAGTCTCCAGGGCAGCAGAAAACAAACTTTCTCCTTCCTCCCTATGACTTCCCCTCACGTATTTATGCATTTATACATATTTATACATGTTTCGGAAGGGAGTTACATAAGGGCAGTTTAAAGGAAAATTCATGGACAAGGGCAGTTTAAAGAAAAAATAGACATGACGACCACATAGAACTTCTCAGTTCTGCATCAATATACTAGCAAAAACCAGTTGCCAGGAAGCCACAGGAAGATTGCCTTCAAAATCTGCTTTTGAGATCTCCAAAGGTTTCAGCCAACTGAGGGTTGAGGCTAACAATTTGATTTAACTCCAGGGCTGCATCTTGAGAGAGCACTTAATTCTTTCTGGTATCATTTTTAATCACTTATTTCCAGTTTAACTTCTTCCTATCATGCAGTAATAACACAAGCAGTAAACAAATTCAACATATGGCAGAATCTCAAAATTGCTAACAGAATAGTTTTTAATACTCTGAATGATGAGAGGCTTGATCTGAATTGTTACCACATTAATGTTACTGGGTAAACAGTTTTACACATTTGCACTGATTTCAGTTATTTTAGATCAGGCTTGTAAATGGCTAGTCCTGCAGTGAGCAAAAAATGTCTTCTGGGCAGCTAAGACAGCTTTGCAAAAGTTGCCATTTGCTTATGCAGTGGACTAGGACAAACGTTGGCAACCTAAAATAAATGAATACAATTCCATTTTGACTCCAGAAGGATCCAAACACGAGTAAATTCCTTCTACAGCACCTAGAGTTTATTTTTAGATGTTTGGGACACACTTTTCTTCCCATTAAAAAAAATTAGTTTCACCCCCTGTGGATCCATGGAGGCCATAAAAATGATCATGCACGCAGAACCATAGGCTACACTTTGCCTTCCCTAGTATATGACACACAGCCACTTGTTTCAGGTGGCCACTTATCTATCTCTATAAGGGGAAATAAAAGATAATTTAGATAAAGAGAAGAACTTAGCAAGAAATGCTGTGTCTGCTCAATCCCTTGAACAGGGGCCCATCCGCACCACACAGTTTTAGTGCTATTTTTCTACTGTCATGGTTCCATCCTATGGAATCCTAGGGTTGTAGTGTGGAGAGGCACTAGAGCTCTCTGGCTGAGGATTCCAGATGTGCCCAAGATTCCATGGGATATTGCCATTGTGTAGGATGAATAGGCCCCAGGAGCTCACTTGTTGATTGGCAACATTGATGCCCTGGTTCTTCCTTATGAAATTTCCTTGGTTTTCAACGGGACATGATCTGAGCAGTTATAGGAATTCGACAGCGCTCCAGATGGCCAATTGTGAAGTCCAACAACATCTGAAAGCATGTATGAATCCCATTCCTGATGTACTGCTTGCCTTCAGATAACAGACTGCTCTCTGTGAAGGATGACAGGTGACTATCCTGTTTTCATTGCTCCCATTCTTCTGAAATCTCCCACAAAGGGCTTTTTTATCAACATTTTTATACCAAGTCAACTGCTGGTGGTGGTAATTTCCCTTTTTATGGATGACCAGGGGAGATTTTTATTATCTGGTGTTCTTGCAAACTGTTCCCTCCTTTTTTAAGGAAAAGACCTGTGGCTTTACAAGTTCTCCAACAATTGAGTTGGGTATGGAAAAATAATGTTCCTCCTCTCCCTGGATACCAGTCACTGTGACTAACAGAGCATGAAAGGTTGGAAGCCTGAAAGCCTTTGTACCTCATACCCTGAAGTTCCATGTGGATGTGGGCTAGGAATATACATTAAAATATGCTGAAACCCGTTTTCTTGAAGCTGCTATCTATAAAATATATATTAATTAATGGCTAAAAGAGTGTGGCTGTCTGAACATTGAATGATGGATGTAGAATTTCTATTTTTCCATTCTCATCAGCATAACATCACTAGCCTTTAAATGAGGCGAACACAGTTCCTAAATAGGAACAATGGTACCCACTGTGCCCAAAACAAACTAAGTTAATGTTGCATTGTCCTCAGTATCCTCACCTGGAAAAAAAAAACCTTGATGATATTTTAGGAATTAATGGCACCTATTTAGGAAGAAATTGTTTGATTCAGCTAAAGGTTGTCAGGATAGTTGTTTTTGGTAACGCTGGTGTTAGTATTTCAAAAATTTAGAGTGTTCTCAATGCCCTGAAAGAAAGGGAGTATTATAAACACATGAAGTAAAAAAAATTACAAATAATATGTCTGACATGTACTGCTGAAACAGTACGACTCTCAGGATTTTTTCAGATTGGGCAGAGTCCATCTCCTCTGTACTTCTTTCTCA